AAATCAAGCTTTAGAACTATTAGCGACTAAGAAAGAGAAAAGTCAAAATAAAAACCTTAAGTTTCCACTAGAATTAATTTGAAGAGCAGAATTAGTCTTTAAATATTTTAAATACCGAGAAAAAGTCGAGTATCATGAAACAATCCGCTAAAATCTTCAAAGACCACAAAAAGTCTCTTCTCAGCATCAGCTTTTTCTAGAAAAGTCTCTTTAGCATCATTTGTTTGGTCGGAAATCAGGAAAATCGCGGAAGTGATTCATTTAACTAAGCTCGAGTAAAAACAAAAGCATGTGCTGCTATGTGTTATTGATGCTGAACGGAATTTTAATTGTTTCAAATTGTTTTTACCAGTGAAAAACGAATTTCTTTACTTTTCAAAATTTTGCGCCTGCAGTCCTTAAGTTGGAGTTTGCAGATTTTTTTCTGTTATAAAATTATTATATTGCTAATAATTGTTAATAATTTTTGCAAATGATTGTTGTGCGTAGAATAAGATAAAATGAAGAGAATGAATGAAGATAAAATGAGATGATGCCAATACTTCACAACATGAGATAAGCAAATTCATGAACTTACAAATAAAGCTTTATGGTCCCAATGACTAATATATTCCCATAAAACGAAATTTTTTGTCGCTTCCAATACAAAAAGTAGCAGTGAGAATAAAATCTGAAAATCATAAAAATCACATATGGCACTTGCTAAGCAAAAAAAACAGATATTATAATGGCTGAAATCAATAGATACCATGAAACAGATAAAAATTGGGTTATTTACAAAAATTAACCCATTTGGCTATAATATTTAAACTGCAGTTTCTTATCATCTTCAAATCATTGAATTTTTATTTCAAATGAATGCTTCAGCTAGTATTTTTCTAGCACAATCACTAAATTTCTGTTGCTTGATACAAGAATCAAAATATAAATATTTATTAATAGTTTCAGCCTGGAATATTGCTAGTAGTTTTTGATATGAAACAGTTTGCTCCAATTTTCGCGCTCTTTGATTCACTTCTGACAGTATATCGAGATTTGGGCTCCGATATAGAAATGATGGGCTCGTAGTCACAAATGACCGTGGTACTTCAAGCTGGTATGGTCTATACAAACGGTAAGGTGATCTAAAAGCTAAATACTTCAAAAAACTCAAGAAATTGTCGATGCATTGAAAAAAAAAGTGGTAGAAAAAATTTTAGCAGCCATAATTATTTTTTACGCGAGCTGTATTTTGTGAGACGCAAGGGTTTATCTGATTTCTTATGGAATCATATCATCCTGGGTTTTCTTTAGACTATAGGGGCAATGTTCTCAGTGGTTTAGGTTGACAAACGAGGAAACGAGGACTCTTAGTAGAAGTAAGAATCCTGCTATTAAAAAATTTGGACGATGCCGGCGAATATTTTCGCCAATATTTCTATCACCGAGTGACAAAAAAATTTCTAATCATAATAACAGCCAACAGAGTTAGCCTAATCAGAATTGGTGAAAGTTAACCACTTACTTTTATCTTCAAACAGTGGCTAAATAGAAATAAAATTAAGAAAAAATTTCAACGAAAAAGTTAGGACCTTGAAACCTTAATAAGATGCGCTTGTTTAAGCAGAAATAAAAATGGGCTCGTCAACTTTTTTTTCTATTTCTAATATCAAGTTAATATTTAAAGTTAATATTTAAAAACTCGATTTAGTATTTATGTGGTACTTTTCTCTTTGGATTTTTCTATTTGTCAGCGAATATAAATAATACGAAATCTGCTATTAATGGTTTATTAGAGAAAAATTTTCATATTTATTTACAGATCAATTTTTTATCACGAGAAATGTTTTATTTATTTATATTAATGCTAGATATTATATGCTAGTTATTTTTATATTAGTTATTATTTCCTTTAATAATTCTATGAGAATTATGGCGTTTATTGTTTCGTGGGATGAGAGAATTATTTACAAAACACCATTCGCATAGAATAAATAAAAGCTGATTTATAAATTTTTTTTTGCAACTTTCAATCGGAAATTTGAAACTCAATGATAATGACAGCCACACTCCATCGCGTTAGATTAGAACTAATCAAAATATTATTGCTCGATAATTATCTAAAGTTATATTTAAGTTATGCAATTATTATTTTAGTAAAAGGCACTATAGCTGAGTGGTTATTAGTGAGATTACAATCTCGAGTGTCTCGAATCATTCAACCGGATGGCGATTGAGGCGATTGATCCTTTCTACTTCCTTTGTACTTCTATTCTTTGGTAAAAGTTTCTAGTCATAATAATAGCTAACTTAGCCGGAAATTGAACATTAACTTCTTACTCTTTCACTTATATAAGTTCTAAAGGAAAGACATTAGTGAAAATTTTATAAACTTTAGCATTAAGCCAGCTTCAGTTACGAAATTTTAGTTGTTAAAAGTGCATTATTTTATTACTTTATTTATTTTAACCATATACCATATACAAATTAAAAACAAAACCTTTTGAAATAATGTGTTGAAGTGTACTGCATAAGCCCATTCCTTTTTGATAATCAGTTACAGCATGGCAAATTGTTGTTGATCCATGAATCCGATAATATAATCCGATAATCCGATAATATTGTTTGCTTTCGCTTCACCTTCATTTATATGGCTCATACATTTGTTTAATTTTCTATTAAATTTTTTTCTTTGTGAAATTTTTCTCCAACTTTAACTAGGCTCAAATACTTATTTTTTTGGAATTTCTCGCTAATTTTATTTGCTAATATAACGAAAATGGAAACAAACAAAATGGAAATTTAAATACAAAAATTTGGTGTATCTGCGAATAGCTTTCGTAATCAAAACCTTAGGGACCTTTTTAAAACTTATTAAAATAAATTATTAAAAGAGTGAATATGATGGATTCGAGAATAAATATACTCAGAATTTTATTTATTATGGAAAAATTATCAAGGCATTGCATCTAAATGACACAGGAGTCGTTGGTTATTTTGATTAAAATAAATTTTTAAGAATTTAATAGAAAAAGTTATAAAAATAAATTCAACGTATATATTTTAGGCGCGAGTTACCAATATTTTTATAGCGGTGACTTTTGAAAAATTCCAACCATATTTACGAGCGAGCCTAACCAGAAATTACCTACTGACTTAAAATGATTTAAAACAATTTTATAAAACGATGAAGCCAAGTTTATGGCTAGCACGAATTCAAATTTAATTTTGAAACGATCCTCGCCTATCAATTTTACACAATTTTTGATACTTTTTTTTGATTAAATACATCAAAAAAAGATAAAACAAATAGTTAATTGAATTTTAAATTTCCCACAACAAATTAAAAATCCTCCTAAAATTCTTGATAGATGCAAAATTTTTATGATTTGAGGCATGCAATAGATGTTGCGTGTGCCCCGCCCAAGAATCAGACGACCTCGAAATAATTTTGTATGAAAACCAATTCAAAAATCGTAAAACTACTCAAACAATCGTAAAATTTTCTTATAATTCTCTCCTGTAGCAAACGGTTACTGATTTATTAATTTATAACCAGTTCCAATGCAAATTACAAATTAATTTTCATTCAAATCTTTTTTATACTTTCTGCTTCGACAATATTTTTCTGAAATCCTTTAAATAAGAGTTCATAAATAGAATGAAAACTGGGATCATATCATTTCAGAAGCAACAACTGTGGTATAAGTTTTACCTTTAATAATTTAATGAAAAAATTATTAACAATTTTTAGTATTAAAATAAAATAGTATTAAAAATATTAAAATAATTGAAGTTTAAATGATGTTGATTTATTCATACCTTTGATATAGAACCGTGATATTTTTATTCAATTTAACGAAGTTCCTTTTTGATTTGAAATAATTAGTTGATGATGACCTTGCAAATTTATTGTTGGTGGCCCACAAAAGTTTCCGAGTTTTTTTCTGCCACTTATAAAATATAATATGATTTCAAATACAATGAATCGTTTAATTGATTTTATGCTTCAGAACTGCAGCAAAACTTTTTTAAAATGTATTAAAGATTAAAAATACGAGAAAAATCGCAGCGTGAATCTGGAATGGGCTTGAACGGAGAGCTGGTAATAAATACTTTGCAAAAAAATTCTACTTCTATCGACTATCAACGGACTACTTGGAATATTCGTTCAACGTAGCGATTTTTCGGATAATTTAATGGAAATAAAGGAAACAAATTAGATCAGAAAATAAATCAAGAAAATTAAGTAAGTATTAGTGGAAACAAATTGAAAAATAGAAAATTCCCATTAAAGTTTAATCATCATCATTTCTGGAATCTGATTAATTGAGCATGTTAAGAATAATAACTGTATTTTCATATATACATAATTATAACATAACAATAACATAATTATTTTCTGTGACATTTTTATGGATATATGTGCTTTTTTTAAAAAAGGCATCAATCGGAACTTCGCTTTTTCTCAGATATTCATTGCAACAATATACATTCTCATTTAAACAATAAGGAATTAAACTCAAAGGAATTTTCTTGTGGAACATTTCCTCCTTATATTTCTCTGCCATGGTGAAACTAATATTAAATAATAAAAATTTTTAAGAATCATTGAAGATATACTCGATCTCATAAAACATTAAATGAGAAATCAATAGGATCCATATGGCATAAAGCCGAACTCCAACAGTTTCATAAACATTTGCACCATCTTGTATGTCTGTATATTAGTTATATTAATTACACCATTAGAGAATAATAAATATTGCTTTAAACGCTTTACGGTGAGAATCAACATCATGCTACTCAATCAAGTGTTTTATAGAAATCCTAAAAAATATCCGAAAATTATGATGGTATTTTGTACAAGTCTGCTGATTTCTATTCATCAATTTCTTCAATATGATATTGATTCTCGGTCACCAAATTTTCATCATAATTTTACCAACCAACAATTGCTTTTGAAAGTTTCACCAAAATCGACATTAATAATTTATAAAGCATTTCTCGATCAGCGTGGAATGAAACCAGCGATAAGAATTCTTGTATTTAGCGAGTGCAGAAATATTTTTGCTAGAATTCAAGTTGATAATAAGAATTATGCAGGTGTGGCTGTACCCATCGAAGGCAAATGTCCATGGCAATGGGCGAAAGCCTGTCAGTGGAATTCATTCCTTCTAACAGCAAAACTTCTAGAACAACCATCGAAAGACTTTGTAAGATCTTTATAATCTTTATAAATTTAAATTCTATTAAATTTAAGCGTTTGATTATTCTCAATTATTTATTAAATTTATTAAATTTATTTTTATTATTTATTAAATTTTTATCATAGATTTCGATGTGCTTTTCAATTTTTTTAGCTGATGCTATAAAATGGGTTTTTAATAAACATAAACTTAGCTTCTTTATACAAAGATTTTCAAGATTAAAATCAGCGAAGGCAATCGAATAGTTGGAGTCAGCCTCCAAAAAATGGCTATCGAACGAATTGGTTTACAGATATGTGTACCACCTTTATATTGGTATTCCGATTATATTGCTTTAATTCAGTTTATTGAAGTTAGTTTTATTAGTATTTTGCTAATTAGCCTAGGGCAATAAAAGCTGCAAAAAACTGAACAGCATTGCTAGATGACATTAGAACTTTTTTTCAATGTCAAACACAGCTTGTAGCCAATTAGGTGATGTTGATATGTGAGATATCGCATGAATTTTTTGTAATCTACAATTTATTGACTCAAGCATTACATTAAGATATCAATTATCATATTATTGGGAGTTAAGAGTTAAGAGCAGAAAAGATCATGAAGATCATTATTAAAAATATTTTAATTTACACTTTTTAATCAACTCAAGTAAATTTTAACAAAGTTATTGGCCTCCATTAATTATTTTGATTATTAAAAGTATCTGCATTTTATTCATCAATTTTTAGAATAAAATTTAACTGCACTGGCAATGACGAAATTTTTTCCATTCAAGATTTTGAAATCAAGATATCCTAATCCACTATACAACAGAGTTTGATATATACTGTATATATGCTGTATACATTGAGTTAAAAAAGTGGTTAGGCTAGGTTGGCTCCACCTATTGCTAGTACGATGAGAAATTTTTGCTACGAAATCATTTGACGGCAGGAATGCAGATGGATCGTCAGCTGAAATTTTTAAATGATAACTTCAGTCTTGCGGAGGCCGGCCCTTAACCTCACCAAAAATTTCCTGGATACAGGAAATTAGCCTAATACAGCCAGTATGTCTAATTCAACTAACGTTCAACGAATAACTAAGTTATACCTTGTTAGTTTCTGAAGTTACAAAAAGTAACGATGTATTCGATGTTTAAGAATTTTAATATTATCTACTCATTTTTAATTCATAAGTGAAAATATTTCCCTCTATTCATTCTTTAATGCATGTTGAATATAACATTATAATTTTTTTAAATATTTTTTATTAAATATAAATTAAGTAAATAGATAATTAAATATTTCAGATATGGACATCACAAGGTGCATCAAAGTTTTACATTTACTATCAATCCATCAGCCGAACGGTGTTAAATGTGTTAAATGAATATCAAAAAAGGGTATAGTAACGAAAATATTATATTTCAGTTTATTTATTTTATTCATGCCATATGAACTTCGAAATATGGAATTTATGAGAAAATAGTGTTAACTTTACAAAGTTGTTGCTTTCGATCTCATTAGCGAAGTTGTAAAATTTCAAATCACTTATAAAAAATTTTGATGGCTGTTCTGTAAGATATTCAATTGCTATGGTAACTTATAGTTATATGTATTGATAATTCGAAAAAATAAGTTTAACAATTTAAGTTATTTTGCGATTTTTAGAATCTCGTAGAATTGATAAAGTGGCGATTGCTACCAAAATTAAAGGTGGATCCAAATAAATCTTTATATAGACTAGGTCATTCACTGGCTCATAATGATTGTTTACATCGTTCTAATGGCCAGTACTTGGCATTAGTCGATGTCGATGAATTTATAATATCAAACAGGCAAGTATGTCATAAAAAGATTAGATTATAATTGCCGAGTTAAAAAATAAAACACTTTATAGCTATTTTCTATTTTTATCATTGGAATTTACCATTTATCACTATCATTAATATTTATCATCTATATCAGAAATAAAAAATAATTTGTATTAGAACGGTGCTTTATAATTCTAAAATAGTTTATTTAGATTATAAAATTTAGGTTGTTAGATTATAAAATTCTATAATGGAACAGAGTGAAGATCTTAAACAATGTTATGAATATTATTGTAATATTATCATTCCAGCTCAGCAACAATCTTGGCATTCTTGGTTAAAGCTGCGGATAAATATCCTGCAGCAGGAAGTTTCGTTTTCGCACACACCCGCTTACGATTTTCCACTGGGAGACCAGCTAATATAGACAGATGGAGTGATTTGACTTTTCATTGGTTGGGCCATACTGAAGTGCAGTTTGGCTATGGACCTACAAAGACTATTTTTATGCCTGAAAGGACTGAAATCGTACTAACTCATCGAGTATTAAAGCATCTTGAGCCATTCAGCCAAATCATGGTGCGATTTTTAGCTAAGTTTTCATTGGTAATAAAGTGCATTTTTTCTTTTCTATCAATATTAATTACTATGAGGAAGTATGAAAATATTGGATTGCGTGTTAATGAATGACATTATCATATTTCAGTTTCAACTGAATCACTGAAGAATTCAAATAACTTTATACACTTTAAGTTTTAAATTATAGGTGAACGAAAGTGAAGCCCGTCTTTTTCATGTTCGGCGAAGTTGGAATGTAAAAATAGATAAAAATGTTTTTAGTACAATTATTCTATTTCGACCAGAAACTCTGACTAAGATTCGCTTACGATTTAATGATATGGTTAAACGCTTTGAAGAGTCAGCAATTATGGCGAATCACATCGATTCTAGAATCTCGATACTCATTAATAAATGCCTCTCCAGGTAGAAATCCATACTTGCATGAAAGTTTTCACTTATCTAGTGATTCAGATTGTATCTGCGAACTTAAAGAGCGAGAAAGCAAAACTCTTCTGCTATTTTTTTTTTGAGAAAACTTTAGGAGAATTTTTTAGATGGAAAGATAAAGGATGCAAGACACCATACCATTCTTGTTTGAATTTACTCATCGACAAGGAAGACTGGATAATTAGTGATGACAATCTCATTCAAGCTTCATACATCGTTTTATAACACATTACGTATTGTGCGACCCAAATAGAGTTAATTAGTTACCTTCCATTCACCATTTTCTTTTTCTATTTATTTTCTTATTTCTTTTTTTAGCCTTTTTCATCTGTTATTTTGATTTATTATATTTTTTATAATTTTCATTCAAAATACTCAGGTATTTTAGAATTTAGAGAATCTGGAAAAATGATAATCGTGTATTCAGCCGCATAGCGAAGGTGTATAGGGGTTGACTGAATTTATATCTCTCTTCCTAAAAATTTCGTAGTGATTATTTTTATTATCATGATATCAATAAGAATATTCATCACAGGCAAAATTATCTTTCGCCATAAGAGTACCATCCAGAGAGCCAAAAATATTTGATTGTATCCAAAGAAATAAATAGGGGTACGATTTTGTAAAGTAATTTGAGATAATATTATGAACAATTTTTATTTTTACGAGCATAATTGTGTGAAAATAACAAATAATGGTTGGCGGAGATTCGAAAATCGCGGATTCGTAAGGCATATCATGCGAAATAAAACGAGAACATAAAAAGTACTTAGAAATTTTTGAAGATTTCGAAATGAATCCATTTTGTAAAATGATCACCACTAATTGCATAAAATTTTCATAAATTATAATAAATTACGGAATTCGGGTCAAAATTTTTTCGAAATCAGTGATTTATAGACCACATTTATTGTCAACTCTTCCAATACTTTTTTAAAGCCTTTTAAGACTGTAATGTCTTGAATCAAATCCAGGTCACACAAATCTCTTTTTTAAAAGTATATCGGTCTAATAATTTCAATTCATTGATTACATATTTTTGACTTTAATAGCTTACAGGAAGAATTGCTTTAAAAATTTCCCCTTCCCTTTTTCCCTTCTTCCCTATAAAAAACATATTTCAATGCAATAGTGAACTGCAAGCGTAGATTCATATCCCATTTCGAGCGTTTACAATAAATATTGAATATTTAATTCAAGCATTTTAATGCTAATTATAATTTATCTTCTATATATATATATATGTATAGCTTAAAGCTTAAAGCTAATTGTATGAAAATTTTTATATAACATCTTGATTTCTGACTTATTTCTTTATTATGATAAAATAGAATAAGAAATTGGCAAAAAAAGAAAAAAAATGTAATTCTGGTTAAAGGAGCTAAAAGTAATTCAGCAGTGAAAATGCTTAAGATATCAAGAGATATTTGACAAGTAAAAATAAGCATATTGATATACAAAAGCGATGACACAATTATTCCAGCTAGGAATTATCACTGGAAACCATCTTTAAGTTGTTTCAGTTAACTGCAGCAGATATAAGCTGATTTTTTCTTCGAAACTTATCATTGCTGATTGTTCCTTGCAAAATTCAGTGATTTCCTTTGCCGTACACTTTGGTGAGATTTTTACAACTGGAAAACATCCAGAGAAAAGAATGCTTTCCCAGTCGAATCGTTCAACTTTTATTGGAATACTTGCTGAATAAGTCGTACAAAATATTTTTGCCTGGAAAAGATTACTTTCTTTTTTATTTATTTTGAATACATCATGGAGATCAACTTTTTTCTTCAGCATTTTGTTTTTGTAATAAATTTTGTTTTTTTTCCAGAGAATTTTTTCTTTACTAAAGTATCTCAGAATAATACCTTAGAGCAAGCAGCAAGAATTTCCTCTCTTGTAAGAGCTATTTTAGGCCATAGTTGCAGGCATGGCTCTGGAAGAGGCAGTGGAGGGCTTTTTGGTCTTGCCATCAAAATTATTTTCCCTTCACTGTTAGCGAGCAATTTCTTCAGTTGAGATAACAAGCCAATCAATTCAGGTGATTCTTTTGTCAGCTCCTTCAGAATTATAACATCGAATTTACCCGCCTGTAATTCTGAAGAATATGCAAAATTTTATTTAAGAAAAATATTATTTTATATATTGTTGGAAAAGTAGCAATTTTCTTAATTACTCTAATTCTAAGATTTTTGTGAGAATATTTATGGCCTTAATTTCATCAAAAAAATAAATTAACAGTCACCAGTTTGGAATAAATTATATTCTTGTGTAAACGAGGTTATTTTCACTGGAATTAACTTGGATCAGTTTTTTCTTTTTTAATCATGTATTCAATAATTTAGTCTAGCAAGGATTTGTGCTTAATCTCTGCTGTTAAAAACTAACTGCCGACGTCTTGCTTGCTTGAAAGATGCTAGATTTTCAATGTTATTTGTTTTTTAAGTATTTGCCCTCAGAAATATTTGAACAATTCTTCAAAAAATTTTTCAGATATGAAGAGATGGTGACCAGTTTTAATTCATTTTCAACTAGAAATATAATTTATCACCGTTTGCTATTTATCATTTGTTCTACCCTTTTACTTCAATAGATTTTTTGCCATGTGCCAAAAACTTTAGAGCGCGCTTAATTAAAGACAACTGCATGGGATAAAAAATGTTGAAGTCGGTATTCCCTAGAAATCATCTGCGACGGCTCAGGTTTTATTAAGTTAATAAATAATAAGAAAAAATATTACGTTTTCAATATCAGTGAATTTATCAAATTTAAATGTCGAAACATTTGATGGTAATGACACTTTAGGCATTTCTTGGCTTATCGCACATGTGACCATATTTTGCGGGAATCGTTCAGCAAGCATTAGCGAAAATATGCTAGGCTCATCCGATACATCTAATATACTTATTTTTTTACCTGCTGCTTCCTTACCATTCACCTGAACTAGATCAGTTTTGAGAACTATTCGAAAATAAAATGAATGATAGAAATAACAAAATGACAGAATTTAAATTTTATTTAAATTTATTCAATTTATTCAAATTTATTATTTAAATTTATTCAAATTTAAATAATCGTATCTGATCTGTTCCACTTGGCACTGAAAAAAAAGAATGATAAGAAGAAACCTGAATGATCGATGTTGTAAGAATTAACCTTATCAATGATCCACGTCCATATATCTGCATGGTGCAATTTTTCGAATTTTTTTATGGCTTCATACTCAGTTTTTCCAAAACGTACTTTCTAAATGAAAAGAGACTAAAATAAAGTAGAAAAAATATTTGTATTAAATTATTAAGAATTTATTATTTAAAATATAGCAAGAATTTTCTAATTGTTTGAATTGACATAACATTAATCCGCAATATTTACTAAAGCTTGTTAGCTACTATTACCATTGACAGACCGAAAAGAACCACTTCTTATGTATGCCATATACAATTATTTGATTTAGTTTTTGAAATTTAATTTTACTATATATATATATAGATGCTCTATATTTGACCGTAGTACTAAAGATAGCTAAGTCGGATCTTGCTTCTGACGGAACTTAACATTAAAAAATCTCAGTGGTACTGCCTATCATTTCTATCGCTAAGTAGCTCAAAGTAGCGAAAATTTTTAATCACACTAACAGCTAATGGAGCGAAGCTAAAATAGTAAGCGCAGACCATTTACTTTATTTTTGTTTACTTACTATTAAACTACTAAACCCAAAAAAATTTTAGCAATTTATATATTAAAAACAATTTATTTAACTTACCACCATTTCCAACTTTCTTAACTTCGCCTGAAAAATTATTTAAGAAATTATTATTTCCGAGATAATTATTTCGCAAAAGACTGGTTCAATTAAAATTAAGCGCTTGAGAAATTTCAGAATTATGAGCGAAAATTTTCAGTCACATTGCTTTATTTTATATGATTTGAGCAATAAACAAAAATTTAGCAATATCTGATAGAGCTTTGATAGCAGACAAAAAATCATATAACAGCTCTGTTAATAAAATCATAGCTGGCAAAGTTATTATTAATTCTTAATTTTTTGCGGAAAATAGTTCATTGTAAAAAGTAGGCTTTGGAATAGAAGGAAGTTCTGACAGATTTTTGAACTGACAGATTCTTTCGCCTGAGAAGTGTTGCCGTGACATTCTGGCAAAGCCACATCACTTTAGTAGCCAGTGGAGCGAACCACATCAGCAAAGGTGAATGCTGTTAATTAGAAGAAAATTTTTTCTGTAAAATTAAATCCAGCAATAATTTTTTCTCATGGAAGATGAAAGAAAAAGAGTGCAAAAATGGATTAAAATATTTAATGCAGTAATCTAATGCAGATTTATAATAAAGATATAATATAATTTTTTCGCAGTATTTAATATGTAAAACTGAAAGTGAATTAAAATAAAATTAAAATAATTTCATTAGAATAAATTGAGGGACTGCAATTGGTAGGCTCAATTCAGTAATATTGTAAAGCAGAACACTTCAAATCTTTTAGCAATATCAATCATCTTAAGCTAACAGTGTTTGCAGTTAAGCTGTTAAAAGACATTTTTAACAAAATTATTTGTTTATTGCTCAAATGTTTTAATAGTCAGCCCTTACAACTTAGCAGTTTTCATTCGAAGTTAGTGCCAATTTTTTTTTTTCTTTCTTTCGTGTTATTTCATAAAACAATTTATTTATTCATTGAAAATATTTCCAAAAATTTTAGCTGGTTTAATTTAACAGTTTTTTTCATTTCTGGCAAAAACAAATTTCAAATCGCTTTTTTATTCAAAATTTTTATCGTCTTATGGAGTTTTTATATTCGTGGATGAAGTAAGAAAGAGAAGAAGCCTTCTTGAAGCCATTTGGCATGACTTTTATATGCTTATGTTTGCAGATTATAATGATAATAAATTATAATAAATTGTTAATGTTTTGATAACCAGAGGGTTTTTTTTCCAGTAATGATAATAATAATTATAATGGATTTTGCACTAGCGATAGATTGGAATGGTTGTAAAAAAGTTATTTTCTTCGAACAACTCAGCTTTACTGAGATTTTGAAAGATTTATCAGTTTTTCTACAATTAATTCAATCATCTGAAACCAACTCCGAAATTGCCTTTGAATAGAAGGTAATAGAAGGTTTAAAAGATGAAATTACTAAATAAACAAAAAAAGAAAATTTCCCTGAAGGTAAACATGACCAATAATGAATGAAGCCACATGGAAATTTTGACATTTTAAATTCCGATTGTCACCTGTTAAGCCTATATAATATGGACTTCTATGCATATAACATTGTTATCAGTGTGACATTGATTAACAGTTGAGTTAATATTAATCGTAGAAAGTTTTAATGTGGTTTCATATGGTTTTTTATTTCTAAATGTAATAAATAGATGCTTTTTTATTTTAGTAGATGAGATGAAAGAAGATGTAAGATTTTTATTGCTGAAAGACATTTTCTGAACTTTGGCCAATATAGTTAGAAGAAATGATCAGATTAAAAATAGCGCATAAACAGTGAAAGAAATGAACTCAGTGAGTTTTTTGGAATTCGAAAATGAACTGCCCACCGCATTATAAAATTAAATTTGTTAAAGACTGTTATATAAAATTAAGAGTATAGTTAAGAAAATATAACGAAAAAATTCGTTATCAATCGAAGAATCCCCTATCAAAACGATGAAAAGGATCATCAGTATTCACTGAAAAAAAGATTATGGGCAATTGCTTGAGAATACATCATTAAAATTAAAATTTTTCCAAGATTAAACTCAAATTCTTAGCTTTTTTTAATCATAAAAATTATTTCAGTAAAAATGAAAAGAATCTCGCACAACTTTATTTCTTTCTTTATTTCTTTAATTAATCAAATAATTGCACTGGAATAGGTACTAAAACAATATCCACATATTTCGTTTGGGAAGAGCACAAATGAACCATTTTTTGAATATAAGAAAGGCATATTAATAAAAGTGTATTTATAGAAGACCTTGTCTTAGATACTTAAATGTTTCACTGAGATCAGTTTCTACATTATTCATACCCATAAGTAACAACTGATCCAGCCATTTTTCGCTTTGAGTTTTATTAGTTCAAAAATGGGGTTGAAACACAAGATTGGTTAAAAGGAATAGAAATAGAGATAGTTAAAATTTCTTCTTTTTAATGGAGATGTAATTCCAATCATAGTTTAATCAATATTTTAGCCTAAACTTGCTGAATACGATCCTGCAAGGATTTGGTCATATAAAATAGCAATAGGAAGGATCTTTATTAAAATACTTGAACCCACACCATATACAAAAATAGCGATGGAATAATCAAATAGTAAATGAAAGCAGTGAAAAAATAAATGGAGAAAATAATGGTGTGATAATCGCAATCGTTATCTTATTTCTGAATGATTTCAAAGAGATTCTTCAATCAACCGGCCCACCTTTATTTTAAGCCATATTTCCTCCATTTCTCATTTTCATCTTCTTTTTCCTAGAAATAAATTAACGCGGACTGATCTGTGAATCCTTAAATATCCATCGATAAAATTTTTGAATTATTTTATTTTGATTCTCAATAATTTTTCTGTAGATATCTGTCTTTATCAGTTTGTTAATTGTGGCATTGTGCTTTGCACCAATTTTATTTTTTAACTTTTTTAATTTCCAGGCTAATTGGATTCAGTTGAACGAATGCTTCAATCTCGAATATGAAATTGGTTATCAAATAAAATTTTTTTAGATGAATTTTTTTTTAATCAATCAACATTTGTTTCGTCTGATTTTAAGAACTGGCCATGGGAAATAGAAAAATTTGGTTCTTTGGTGAAATAGTGGACTTGTATAATTTTATTACTTATTTACGTGATGGAGTTTTAAAATTTATTTACGTCTCATTGGCTGAAATTATACTCCATCCAGGTCATAGATAAAATGAATTTGAATTAAAGTATATAAAAATTCCTAATTTTAAATGGATTTAATTATGAAAAGAAGTAAAGAATGCAGAATAAATAGAAATATTTTAATGGACGAAAAATTTTTGTAAAAAACCGATAATTTCTTGCATAGCCGACACAAACGGTTATTATCTAAAGGAAATGCTAAAATTAAAGGCTTTTGCACTTTCATATTATATTTGAGCTTGTAAAATCTTACAAAATCGAGCAAGGAATATAAAATGGTTGAATGGCATGTATCATGAGTTTGACTTCCTTGATAGTCACAAATACCTTATTTAAATACCTTATTTAAACAATACCTTATTTAAAGAGAAATCAGAGTAATGCAATTCAGCTACATTTCATGCTACAGCTCTTTGGCTATTTTCATCGTGGCAGTAAAGTGTGGAAAAAAAACTCCTATATCATTCATTTATCATCCATTTAAACCAGAAATGATGGAAATTTATTTGAAGAAGGAATATCTAAAAGGGATGAAAATTAGCGAACAGAAAAAAGAAAGAGAGAAGAGAAAAGAAAGAACTGGATGAGCCTTGGTGATAATAAATGTTTAAGAGCAAAATGGAAATTGAACCAGTCTTATGAAGATGTGGAATGAAAAGCAAAGAAGATGCTTAAAAGATAAAGTTATGGAGTATTAAAAGCGCAACAGATATATCTAGTTATGTTTAGTCATAGAATGTCATAACAGTTTCATAGCTCAGAATTTTGACTTCCAGTGCTCAAAAATTAGATTAAAAATTGTTTTTGAGAAAGAAATCCTTCCAACTACTTTGGCCAGTATCAACATTCTAGGAATTGAACGACCATTTTTGAACAAATGATCAACGAACAGACGGATATTTGTGCACAGTTGTTCCGATATGAAATAAAAAAGTTAGATGATCATAAAACTTTTCATTTTGTTGATATTAATGCGAATGTTTATAGGCAAAAAAAAACTTCTAAATCATTCATTTATCATCCAATAACCAGAAATCTTTCGATAGTCAATTTGATTTAGGTGCAATAATTATTAAAAACTCGGCTAACAATATGAGTTGTTGGTTAGACAGTAAATTTAAATTTTTGAAATTCAAGTTAAACAAATCATATGATTTGTTGACGAAAAAAAGCAACTATTTTCATTGTTAGAACATGAAATTTTTGATTGCATCATTTCTGTAAATTATTTAACTCGATTCATATCAGTGAATATTCGTCAATCATTTAATATTAACTAAGAAAATTAGA